TTTCTTTTCTCTTACTGCTTGTAGTATTTTGTTCTTCTGTTGGGTTTCTGGGATCTTGATTATTATATGTCTAGGTGTAGATTTTTTTTTATTGTAGCTAGTTGGGGTCCTATATGCCTCAGTTATCTGAATGTCAAATTCTTCCCTTCTGTTTGGGAAGTTTTCTGTCATTAATTCTGCGAACAGCTTTTTTAAGTCATTTGTATTTTCTCCTGCTACTTCATGTATTCCTATCAGTCTTATGTTATTCTTCTTTGCATCATCTAGGAGTTGTTGGATCGATTTCTCATGATCTCTTGCTGTTTTTAAGAGACCTCTCTTTTCATGGTCACTGACTGCAATCTTATCTTCTATATCTGAGAGCCTGTCTTCACATTCTTTTATTCTGTTGCATACAATTTCAATAGAGTGTTTAATCTCCTGGATATCTGTTTGAATCTGTTTTATGGATTCTATTTCTTTCCTATATTGGGCGTTTATTTTTTTCCATTTCTTTCTTATGCTGGGCCTTCATGGCTTCTATCATGGTCCTGAGCTCATCTATTTTTTTGTCAGTTTCTGCTCTAGAAGACCATTTTAAAATAATTTATACAAATAAAATTACCCATTCTCCATATCTATTCAATGTAAAAATGTGGTTACAGAGTAACTATTATATTGCCTAAAATGCTGGTTAAGAATCTAAAGATTTCTTTTTTTATAAAATGGAGCACTACTCAGCCATAAAGCACAAGAACCTGAGATATTTATAGCTAAGTAGATGCACATTGAGGCCAAACACTTAAGTGAAATTAATAAGTCACACATGTGTAAATACCAAATAGTTTCTCAAGTATGAAAAACTAAAAGGGTAATACGAATCAAACTGAATAATTGGTATTGTGTACTGGAAAGAAGAGGTCTAAAAGAGCAGAGGTAGTGTAAAGGGGAAGGGAAAGGTAAAAAGGGAAAAGAAAAAGTAAGTGAAAAGGAAAAATATGGAAACATGTCTTTGTAAACAGGGGAGGGTGGAGGAGCTGAAGGGAGGGCTGAGCAGTGGGGAAAAATAAGAACCAAGATGCATCATCCCAAAGATGAATATAACTGTTGTATACATAAAATATACCAATAAACTTAATAAAGATTTAAAAAAACAGTCTGAAGATTGCTTGTAAGGGTGGTTTCTTAAAGAGGTATTATAAGCCAGACCAAAGTTGGCTACTCACATCCACATGCATCCAGAGTTTGTGCTTCTTGCAAATATCAGCGATATCCTGGAGCGGGTCGAAAGCTCCAAACACGGTGCTTCCAGCGGTGGCGCTGACACAGAATGGAGTTTGGCCCTGAGATGTTAAAACTCCTCAGTCATTGCCATTTTAGCATCTCATAAAGTTCTCAAGGATAATATCATTACTTAGCCATTACATTTCTAGATGTTAGCAAGCCGGATAACTTTGATTCTGTTATTAAATATCTAATATTTAAAACGTTTGAGGTACATAAAGCACTGGAGGAAGTTCCTTAATCTTAAAATGAATTAATATCCAAGCCTCTGAATTTCACTTATAATTTTTTCCTCTGAATTAATTCTAAGAAAATAACACTGAAAAGGCTGTAAGGCTGAATTCCCTTATAGAGGAAATACACTTATAATGTCTCTTTTGATATAACAAACTGTTATATCAATACTGTTAAAGAAATATGGAAATGTTACTTATAATTGCACTTTGATTACATAAGGAATTATTTACAATTGGGGATTATTTTTCATTTCTTAGCAATTCTCTTATCAATTATTTTCCACTAATGAAAATTGGGTAAGAAAATAAAGATATATTTGCACGTTGACTATGGAATTGTAAAACATACCTTTCTTTTAGCTTGTAATATATTTTTCTCTAACTCATCTGGCATCATCTTTCCCCTTAGAAATGTAAAGACACATTGATTTATTATGTTAATGCACATGAAAACTCTATTATTTTTTTTTCAGCTTTAACTGAGTTTATTGGTACATTTTAGGGATACAGTACAGTTACATTCATTGTTGGGATCTTGTACCTCTACATGACAAGTCTTCATTCTCATTTTTTCCCCTTACCCCTGCCCTCCCTTCACCCCCTCCTCCCCTCCCCATCTACAAACACTTTATTTTCATCTTTTCATTATCTCACATTTTTTTCTTTTCCCTTATTACCCTTCCCCTACCCATCCCACCTTCCCTACACCTTTAGTTCCTTTCTTCCCATTTCTAAATGTCAGTAATCTTATTAGGATCTTATGTATTATTGCAGATTATTCACACCAGGGAAACTATTAGGTATTTGCACATGTGCGACTTATTTATTTCACTTAGGAGTATATCGAGAAAACAGATTCATTCATAGGAAAATGGATACATATTGAAAACTCTATTATTTTGAAGCATAAATGACAATAAGATTAGAAAAAGTTATTTTTTACTATTTCTCAATATAAACAAGCATTGGGTAAATGTTCAATTCCTTAAAACCATCTTGTTTGATTTAGAGAATGCTTAGTTTACTATTTAGTCACCTTAATATATACATCATTAACTAATAAGAAGATTCTGGTTCTTTTTTTCTTTCTGTCTGTCTTTCTTTCATTGTTATTACATTTTAAATACAAAATAAAGATCTCTTCATATTAAGGTAGAAAAGTCAAGTATCTAGATTGCGAGTCTAAAGGAGTGATATGAGTTAAGGTGCTTTCACATAGCTATAAAACAAATTTCCAAGAAAAAATGAAAGTTGATATTTTTCTATTTCATCCAGACATGAGAATAAAAGCCACCATGCCTCCTGAGGATTCCTTAGGAGTATTCTATTAAGTCAAAACTAATGAAGGACACTATAATTGATACTCTGTATTTTTTTTCTCTGAAAAACATCTAATAGAAGACAGAAAAAGAGAGGAAGGAAGGGAGGGAGGGTAGAAGGAAGGGAGGAAGAAAGACAGAAATGGGGAAGGAAAGGAAGAAGGGAGAGAGAGAGAAAGAGAGAGGGAGGGAGGAAAAAAGGGAAGAAGGAAGAAAATATAGAAAAGATGGAAATAAAGTGTTTGTAGATGGGGAGGGGAGGAGGGGGTGAAGGGAGGGCAGGGACAAGGGGAAAAAATGGGAACCAAGACTTCATGTAGAGTGAAAAAAGGGAAGAAGGAAGAAAATATAGAAAAGATGGAAATAAAGTGTTTGTAGATGGGGAGGGGAGGAGGGGGTGAAGGGAGGGCAGGGACAAGGGGAAAAAATGGGAACCAAGACTTGTCATGTAGAGGTACAAGATCCCAACAATGAATGTAACTGTACTGTATCCCTAAAATGTACCAATAAACTCAATTAAAGCTGAAAAAAAAAGAAATTAACCTAATTGGAGTAAATATGTTTGTAAACCTAAGTTGTTAGCAGAAACAATGAGAATGTTGAGCAAATTGAGAAGTTACAAAGGTAAATCATGTTCCCATTTATTAACACTTATTTTTGTTAATAAATAATAGAGAAATTCTGTTTAAAATAATAGAAATGATGTCAAGTATCAAAAAAGGACCATTCTCAGAAAATAAACAGGAAATACATAATCGAATAAATTAAGATAAAGTATTAAAAGTTTATAAAATATACATCCAAGACCTTTCATATTCATGTATTTCATATTTAGGAATTCTAAATATATAGATTTATAATAAGCCTCTAAGAAATAGTAAACTACCAAAAAAAGTGATTAGCATACATGAATAGGTAATTTATAATAATATATAGCTGGCTGGTCAGTATATTTCAAGGTGCACTTTTTTTGATCAATAATAAATCTTTTTTGTGCCTATCAGACCTTTCAAGTATATAAATAATGACAACATGCAGACTTAATATAATAAAGTCCTAATTAACTAAAAAATATTTGAAACAAAAATCTTTACAAAACCTGAAATGGAGAATCATGTGAAGCAATGATACAATTCCAAGAAATAGAGATATTTATAAAAAGACAGTCAGACATATTTACCTAACAATGATTTGTGAAATTATATTTACATTTACGCAGTGAAATACTCCAAAAAATATATATATTTTTATTTTTATTTTTATTTTTGAGGTATTGGGGATTGAACTCAGGACCTCACACTTGTGAGGCAGGCGCAGCGCCACTGAGCTAAATCCGCAGCCCATCTGAAATAACTTTGAAAAACAAGAAAAAACTCTGTATGAATTTATGATATAAGATATCTAAGACATAATGCCAAAACTTAAAAATCAAATTACAGAATATAACACAGAATTGATGAGCTTTGATATGCATAAAATGTTCTTTCAGAGTATATGTTTAAATTTTTATATTATTTATAGAGATTAAAATTCAAAACAATTGGGAATATATTTTCACTTTGTATTCTACTTAACCCAGCTGAATTTTTATACCCAAGCATGCTTACAGTGATATTTGAATATATTCATTAAAGAAAAAAATAGAGAAGTTATGTAGCAATCCTACTTGCACAAGATCATAGTTACTAAGTAAATTTTAACAAGATAGATTATTTTGGTACTTTTTCATAATTACTTCTTGTTAAAATTTAAATGAAGATAATATGTAATGGTATTTTTACTAAAAATTGGAACAATAAGAAGTGGAATTTTAATTTATGAAGTATAGTGACAATAAAATTTTGGAGAATTTATTAAGAAACATACCTTTCATCACATTTTACTTCAATTACATTATCAGTTCCAATACCAAGAAGTGCTGCAGCTTTTTTCACTGAATAGTGACCCTTGAGCAAAAATTAAAAAGACATTATTTCTTGTACATTCAACAATCACTTATACTCTGGTGTGTTTGGAGGAGTATAAGCACAGCTTTGAGTAGGTTTATTCATATATCCACGTGTGAACACATATTTCCAATTTTAAGGAATGGTTTCCGGCCCTCATTATGACCTTGATGAGTTGAAGATGATCTTAGCATTTCCAAAAGATACTATCACAGACTACAACTCTTCACATGCCGTGGGAGATTAAATATTCTAGATCTCTTTATGCACATGAAGTCAGGTCACCTATAAGTTGAATAGTAGTATCCTCCAGGTAAATCTTTTCCCGTTGCAGACAGATCTAACTCCTCCCTTACTTTTCTTTTTCTTTTTTTTTTAAGAGTAAGGCTTTAAGATATGCACTGATTCTCTCTGTGCTTGCGATTTAGTTCCAATTCTGACATCAGCTTTGACTTTTTACCTTCTAGTTGCCTACTTTTTGCTTGGATCATTCTGCCTCATATAAATCGTACCAGTAATACAGAGGTAATAGCAGCTCAAAAAAGTTAAACTGGCCTGGATTATTTTTAATTTCCAGGAAAACAACAAATACATGAGAGAAAAATATTCATTTTCAATGGAAAATATATAGTTTAAATAGGAAATGATTTTTTACAAAATCTACATTATGAAATCTAAGATTATTTGCACACCATATTTTAAAATATTTTACATCAAATGATAGAAATCATAATTGTAAACAAGCATATTGTCATAGTAAATTTCATCAGGTATGTATCAGTGACCTCCAACTTGATAATATGCAAATAAATAATGCCTGTTTTAGTTTGGCAAAGGAAAGACTTCAAAAACTGGAACACTTCCAAACAATCACTATGTTTCTCAACACTTTCACATATAATTCTAGTGAGACTACTATTACATTTGAAGATCATAAATTTTGCTCTTAGAAAAGAAGAAAGTTATCAGATTTATTCCAGACATGAATTGCTTTTATAAAAGTTTTGATATTGTACACAAAACTGGAACATCAAAACTAAAGACTATTTTAGTAAATGTATTGTCAGCACAGCAGCAGAGACATATGGTTGAGGACTTTATCCAAAAAGAAAAATTTTCTTTTCAACTAATTCCATTTGTCCTACCTAGAAAGATAAAATATTAATTATATTTTTCTTGTCTTTCTTCAGTGTCAAAGAGAATTATTGAATCTTTGATATTTCATAGCTTGTTTTTACTTGATAAAGATATGTTGTATATATTTATAATCATGTTTTATTGATAATTCTTCATATGTTGAAATTGAATTTATCCCTAAATTACTTGAATTGCTTATTTACAGAGTCAATATTTACTGGAAATTTTTTTACTTTTACAATATCAATATGTAAACCTAAACTCAGAGATTACCCAAACATATTTAATATGAACCTGAAGCTAACATTGCTAATCACTATTTTATCAGGTTATTTTGAGTCTCTAAATGTAGAAAACACTATTTTGATACTTACTTGTTCAGAAACAAATAAAGCAATGCAAGGAAGTGCAGTCATGCCTTTTATTTTTACCTCTGGATATTGCTTATAACGAGCTACTAGTATACCATAGAGGTTTGATATACTCCCACCTAGGAAAGAGAAATAGTGACTATTAATTTCAGAAAACAGAATTTTCATTGAAATCATAACTGTTTTAGAGTTATCAGAAACTAAAGTTGTGTTAAATCACTGATGTTATTTTAAAAATAATTACCTTTACATTTTCAGTTTCTCACACAAATGAGGATCAAAATACGTAATAGACAATGTGAAATAGGATGAAAAGATCCAAAGGGAAGGGGGAAGGGGAGGTGGAAGGGCAATAGCAAAGGAAAGAAAGGAAAGGTAAAAATAAGAGAAAAGGAACAAATAGAAACAAAATCCTTGTAAGTAGGGAGAGGTGAAGAAGTTGAAGGGAGGGCAGGGAATGGGGAAAATATAAGAACCAAGATACATCATTAAAGGCACAAATTCCCAATGAAGAATGTCATCATATTGCATACATAAAATGTGCTAATAAACTTAATGAATTAAAAAATACATTTCCTTAAATGATGCTTCATTTAATTTACAGAAATAATATCCTGATTTTTCTTACCAGGTGAAAATATACCATCCGCTTCTATTTCTCCCCAGCCAATAATTTCATGCATTTTCTTGAGAAGAATTTTCTCCATGATAGTAAATACTGGGGCTATTTCATATGTAAACCTATTATACATATATTAAAATTCAACAGTGAAGTACATGAAAAACGATTAATAAAATCACATACTACACAATATTATGCATTGTTTTGCTCTATAGTAGATTGGAAATGGTTACATTTTATATGTTCAAAATTGCATCTTACATACCTAGAGTATATTAAGTAAGCAAAAATAATATATTGTTTTTGAGGTAGGTGAAAATATCTTTCCCACCAAAAGGAATTTTTAAATCTTCCTTCTTCCCCTCAGCATATACTCAATACTATTAGGAAGAGAAAATACCCAGTTATCATACTAAGAAAATTAGAAAGAAATCTAGAGCCACAGATGATATTTTGTAGAACATGAAAGAGGTACAAAGAGCCTTTTGTAGAAATTTTTTGATAACTATTCTCTAAGACTGGGCTTTCATAAAACACATTTAGAAGGGCTAAGAAGTACTATATTTTCAGGAATATGAGATGCCACAAGATGATACATAACAAAAGCACAGCACCCATGGAAGACAATTCAGAGAGGGATAAATGGAGAAATCTTCTAAGTCATCCTTTGAGACTGATGTTAACCCCTCAGAAAGAAGAAGCTGAGATAAAAATAAATCTATAAAGCTTTCCTCTATGAATACTATGTACAATAAACAATGAAAGATGTAAAATGAATTCTACAGATAGTGGGCACAGTTATTCTCAAGAGATAAAGTAGTAGGTAGGCAGGAGGCACAAATCTAAAGTTGTAGTATATGACATAAGGATTACAGTACAATATGTATTGCACTCAGGACTTTTGCTAAGTAAATAGATTATAGCTCCTCATGCCACAGGAGTGAGTGGGCAAATGGAAAACTATGTAAGATCTGCTGCTTCAGAAAGCTTTGAGCTTGCTGTCCCTAACACCTTTGGACATTATGCAAGCCTAGTGTGGTCACTATCACTAGACACAACCATGACCCAGCAGAGAATTTCCTCCTTACCCTCTATAGTCACTGACCTCCATCCCGAAACCTACCTTTTCCCCTGAGGCATGACAAGTTGGGGAATCTGCTGCGAGTTCCAACAATGCCCCAACCATTGTATCTGGAGAAAGAATACTGCATCATGCAATCAAATGGCCCTAGGAGAACTGGTTGAGAAGAAATTCATTCCCTTTCTTTCCTCCGGATGAACTTTCTGAGAGCAGTCATTTATGAGGGCCATTGCATCCCAAAGGATCAAGCATTCACTTGTGCCTATACTAAGTGGCAACCAGGTCTGTAACACCTGCTCATATAACTCACTACTCTTTCCTAACTGCCCTCAGTTGCCAACAACCCCATTCCTCAGGATGACAGATGTTAAAAGCACAATAACATCCAAGCTTTTACCTTTAGTTTTGGCTAGAGATCCATGCTAACAAAATCCACTGAGTATTAAAATTTTTTAAATGGGCATGTAATGCATGCCTGTAATCCCAAATAATCTGGAGGATGAGGCAAGAAGATGGCAAATTTGAGGCCAGCCTGATAAAATAATTTTTTTAAAAGACCTATGGATATAGCTCAGTGGTAGAGGCTCTTGCCTAGTATGAACAAGGACTCAGGTTAAATCACCAATATTGAGGAAAAAAAGTTGAGATTTTTAATTCTAAGAGAAACAAAGTGAGAAGCAAACCCTACATACTTCTATTTCAACAAGTCTTACTTCTGCCAGTGGGTGCTGTGTCAACAGCAATTTCCACTCAACTTACCCTATTTTAAGTCCATGGAATAGGTATTTTTTCAAACAAAAAGAACTCGCCAAACTTTATAGCATATAGAATGGTAGAATTAGGAATTGGATTTGATTTTTTTTACTCCCTTCTCATGTGTTTTTCCATTATCTCAAATTGTTTATTAATTCATCAATAAGTGAGAACACTTTGAAGATGAAAAAAATCATTCCTTAAATTCTTCATCTTAGCAACTTTATATATTTTCACTGTTTCTCCATCTAAACTCAAGAATTTATATTTTTCACATTGATAAAAATTTTAACAATTAATGGAATTGCAGTCAATATAATATTATATATTAATTTTATGTAATAATTTGTATAACACAAATACATAATATTGTCTCAAAAGACATTATTAAGAGCAAAGTGTCACTCTATACAGATTAAATAAGGGACCATGAGCAAGAAATAAAATTTAAAATAGCAATAAACCATGTAGGCCATTATAATTTGCATTTCACATCTATAAAATGCTAATTACCACCATGAATTATGCATCATTAAAAGCTAAATGATAACTAAACAGTTAAAATAGTCTTCAGTTTTTCCAATGGACAAGCAGTCTCTTCTCATAAATATTTAGTTCTTGGTTTTAAAGTTTAAATTTCTACCAGCTATTTCTATCAATTAGTAGTTAAATCATATTACCATCTGACACAATTTTCTTCTCAATTTTGTATCAGATCATTTTCCTATCCCTTTTAACCTTGAAAAATATTGCTCTAAAATTTACTTTACTTCAAAACACTAGCATAGTGTATCCAATTTCCTTATGGCCAAAAGATTTTGTTGGAAAAGGTCAATATTTTAAAAGAATCACATTGGAGTAGCACATAACTTTTCTTTGAAGGTTTACTTTCTTTGCCATAAAGATCAAGCTTCTAAATAACATTCAGGCAACTTCCCATTTACATGTTTGTGCCTCAGACTTATTTGCACCCTGTGTCGTTTAGAGTAGTGTTGAATTGATGCCAGTTCTGGAAACTGACTTCCAGTCTTCATATTAGTGACTCAAGATAGTCCCTGAGCTTTCCCACTGCCAGACAATTCAGGTCATGGATGTTTCCAGAGAAAAAATAGAAGAGGATTGGATAGACCTCTGTAGAACATGTAGAACATATGGCAGCTTCTTTGCATTTCTCCCAGCAAAATGTAAATTCCACAATGTATTCTTAACTGTGGCTTACTTGTATCTAACATCTTCACATTCCTTAGATACAGAAGGCTACTTACATGTTCGTATTTGCAGCAGCTGTCAACCATTCCCCTGCAAGCCCAATTATATCGAGCCCACTGGAAAGCTGGTTAAAATATCGAGGATGTCCTACAAACAAAGACAAAATTGAAAATAGATCAAAATAGAAGTAGAAAGCTAAAAATAGTTGACTTTAATGGCGGTTTCTCAATTAACAGATATATATGTATTAGCACACTTAAAATAATTATGTCACACAATAAAGCATTATTGATCAACCGTCATACACAGGGACAGAGCTAAGTAGAGGGAATACAAGATGGGCATGGTCACTAACATGTAAGTTTTAGAACCAGTAAACTAGTCGGAATTATTTGTGTTTATAAGCTGAATATAAATTATTCCACTTGATAGCTAATGCTTAATATTTGAGCCATCTATATTAAACTTACATTAATCTCCCCCTCCTTAGTTTCAAAACAGATTTGAACTTTTTACAGTGAATTAAAAAATGCATCATAACTGTTTAAAAATCACTTTCTTTTTTCTTCTTTCATTCTCTTTTTCAACACAACCTTTTCTGTAACACTTGCATGATTTCTTAACAGGTAGGTGCTCAATAAATATGTGCTGAATGAATGGAATGGAATATCTGAAAGTTGTGGGTTATTGTAGAGAAATGTTTTTTATTATTTACTTTTTTTACCTTCCCTGAATCTTTTTTTCCCCTCTGCACTTAAGATATGCAGCAATGGAGCTAGAAATGTATGTGGGGCTGGGCTGTGGCTTTAGTCCACATTTACAATGCTACATAAGAAAAGGAAGAGAACTCTCGTTTTTTTCTTCTTTTCCTTTTCCTCTCTTTTTTTCCTATTGTCTGTCTTTTATTTTGGTATATAAGGAATGGTAGATCAGTTTTGTCTGAAGATAAAATACCTGTGATGTTTAAAATGCTTCATCTAAAAGAATATTATTATAGCACAATCCATATTACTTCATGTCTATTAAGCATAAGGCATAATACACAAATAATGTCTAATTATTAATATGATACACACAATATTTTTAAGACCACATAATAAGAAATAGGCACAAGAAGAGATGATACATTTGGTTCCATTTGTTTGTGTCTTTCCAGTGACAATATTCACTCCAATGCACCATTATTATATATTTAAGATTTTAAAAGAAGGGGTTTATAAAGCCTATTCAAACAGATTGCTCCTGGAAATATCATCACTTTGCATGTTTAATAATCAAGTATAATAACATTGCTGAATCAGAAAATACAATTTCTAAAATACAGTATAGACTATATATCTATGTATCTGAAATAAGAGTCAATTGAGCATCAATAATTAAATATTATCAAATAAAATCTATTAATGAAATAATGATGAATAAAAGCCATACATTAGTTGTCATTGGAAAGTAAATTCCAAACTAAAATCATTTTATTTTCCTTTGTTAATTAAAAAGCAACTTCTGTATGATAGTACTAATTAGGTAATAAACTAAAGAAATGTCTTAAGAACAAAAATAAGATATCTTATATTACATATATGAACTCACAGCCATTGGATCATTCTACACTTTAGGAACATCAATTTCAAAGAGAATCACCTACCTGTTTTAACACTATATTTTAAGGTATCTGTGCAATCTACAAGTAACTGCTCCAGAGATTCAGGGTGGTCAGACAGCTCTAAATTAAACCCTTCCAAACCTTGAAGGAGCTGATGAGGATGGTGAAAGTCCAATATTTTACTTTTAACATCAAAGGATTTTTTGATGTAATGCAGAAGAATATTTACCACTTGTAGGAGAAAGGATTTTGTTAAATCCTTACCGTCCTTATTAGGCAACAAATCTAAGGAACGAAAAAACATAAATTGCAAAGTCAGTACAAAGAGTGGCTAAAGGTGTAGGGCAAGTGGGAAGGGCAGGAGAAAGGAAATAAGGGAAAAGAAAAAAATATGAGAAAATGAAAATAAAGTATTTGTAAATAGGGAAGGGAGGAGGGCGTAAAGGGAGGGCAGGGTAAGGGGAAAAAATGAGAATCAAGACTATCTTGTAAAGGTACAAGATCCCAATGATGAATGTAATTGTATTTCATACCTAAAATGTACCAATAAACTCAATGAGGAAAAAAAAAAAAAAAGAGTGGCCAAGAAAGTCCCCAAGAGATAGAGATTCATCAATGGAAACAGAACATATTAAAAGGAGATACCAAGTGGCAAGCAATGTAATACAACTACATCCTACTAATAATTTTCCTCTTGTGTCTCAGTTGATGAAAACTTTCACCCAGATGGACCACTTTAGATTCATGTCATTGGAGCAAAAGACCCTTCAAGATTACCTAGGGAAGGAATTTATTTGATGTTCTCCTCCGAAAAGGATCTGGTCATTCAACTTTTAAAAGGAAGTTAAATATCTTAAAGAAAAATACACTGTAGTTGTTTCAGTGCATATACAGATCACATGGAATTCATTTATTGAAGAGAATAGAAGAATCAGCGTTTGTTAATCGTATTCATACCTGAAGCATAAGCATTTGATAAATTAGTCATTAAATTCTCTGTATGAGCGTCTTCTTTCACATCACTCTCAGTCGATTGAAAATTAGGAAAAGATTTTTTCTTCTGTTCTTTATCTAAGTTTAAAAAAGAAATAATTTTTGACTATCAAAATGTATTGATGTTACTTACCATTTTATCTATCATCAATTAGAGGTCTCTAAAAAATTATAGTAATTGCAGCTCTCATTTCCATTCTCATGCAGGTCAGGAGGACACATATAATTTAAAGAGAAACTTAGGCTAAAGAAATAATATGAACAACAAATGATACACATCTGGTTATTATTTTCATGAGTTTAGTGTGCAGGTGTAGGAGTATTAATTTAAAAGAGCATGTTAAGTATAACTAACAATATCTTCTACATAAGATCTTTCTATTAAATTTATTTATAACACTGCTATGCATTAAGCACCTTAAGTATGTTGTATACATTTGAAATCTTACAATAGTCTCATAAGAATATTTTTCCTTATGCAGATAAGGAAAAACATAAAGAAGTTAAATAACAGTAATAACCAAAAGTATTTTTAACATTTACGTTGCCCTGAGCACTGCTCCAAGTATCTCACAAATATTGTCCTGTTTGGTCCCCATGACACAGGTCAGGATATAGATAATAGGCTTATTAACAAAAATAACATTACATGTTATATCTTGGACTTATACACAGACCTGTTTGACTACAAATACCAGTAAGGTATCCTCTTTAAAAATTAATATTTAAAATTAATAAGTCCTGAAATCATCCTTAAAAAAGATATTGAACCAAACATCCAATCAAGCAAACAAGACATCCATAAGTATATTTTTATTTTTCTGAGAAATTTTTTTGGGGGGGCAAAAGAACTTACAAAATATAGTTCATAAAATCAAGGGGATTATGCATAGAATTGTATAAAATATAAAGTAATCTAGAAATAATTTATGGATTAATTTTGTAGTTTTGATTTTATGTTGGCAGTTTGTAGTTAATTGCTTCCAGTCCTGATAGATTTTTCTTAAATTGAAACACATTCCCTTCCTTTTTAGAAATTTCATCTATATGACTGTAGCAAAATTAGTTCATTTTTAAGCACTAATACAATGTTTAAGTGTTTTAAATGTTTATGTGTAAGATGAAAATATTTTATGATATCTTTGTTATAATGAACAAAATTTTTGATATTTAAAGAACTCATGCATAATAGAAAATAACAAATTACAGTAATGCGGACTAATTTATACAGCATGCATTATACTTAAATTACCATATTACACATTAACTCCAGTAGACATATATTAGTTTATTTCATCATATAACTTTTGAAGGAAATTTTAAAGTTTCTCAGCTATAAAATGTAAAATGAATTCTAAAGTGACTGAAGTTTTAGTAGTATCACTTCATTTAAATAATCCTAGAAATGAAATCACAAGAAAAAGTTAAATTTGTAAAACCCTGTACATGAAGACATATTACAGAAATCATAAAAATAAATTGTGTAGAAGACAACACATTTTACATATTAGCATAAGAATTATAGTCCATTAGTAGTTTAACTACAAATTGAATCTACAATTAAAACTATGCTAGACGTATTTATATTTGTTAACACAATAGTTGTTTGAGGTTCACAAGATTGCTAATATTTGTTAAAATATTTTATTATTAATAACATGAAATAAATAACACTATTATTTGACAGTCTGTGGTTCTTAGTAATTAGCAAAATTCCCCTCAAACTTCTAATAAATATGTATTTACTCAGTTAATAATAATTCCCATTTATTTTCAAAAAAATTTAACTTACGTGTCAGGCTGTATCCATATCCTTTAAAATCCATGTGCTATGAAAAAAAAATTTTCTACTTCAAAAGAAAACTTTGAGCCAGAGAAGTATTCTCACACACTTGATAGTTAGAGAGTTGTGACTGCCATATTTATAGTACAGACTCCTTTCAAGTACTTTCTTTGATTGCAAGGAAATTAACAAATAATGGGAGGATCTCTTTACTTGAACAATGGGCAGGGACACAAAGCTTTTGTTTGTTTGGAGAATTAACAGAGAGGGTTATACTATGTTTGTCTTTAAACATCACTTGCTTTAGTGTATATTTAAAAGTATGGTTTAATGTTAAAAATGTATAGGTTTCAACTTCTTGATGATCATTATTTTTATGTTTGAGGTGAAGTGTTAGGTATTGTACAGCAGAAATGAAAAAAATGCATGCATGTATTAACAATATAATTTATAAGGAATTACTTTATGCATTTACATTAAAAACCCTAAAATGTAAAATCATCCAAGAATACATTATGATGAGGACATGAGAGCCCCATTTCAGGTAGACATTTTTTTTCCAGCTTTAATTAAGTTTATTGGTACATTTTAGGGATACAGTACAGTTACATTCATTGTTGGGATCTTGTACCTCTCCATGACAAATCTTGATTCTCATTTTTTCCCCTTACCTCTGCCCTCCCTTCACCCCCTCCTCCCCTCTCCATCTACAAACACTTTATTTTCATCTTTTCATTATCTTACATTTTTTTCTTTTCCCATTTTACTCTTCCCCTATCCATCCCACCTTCCCTACACCTTTAGCTCCTTTCTTCCCATTTCTAAATGACAGTAATCTTATTAGGATCTTATGCATTATTGCAGATTATTCACACCGGGGATCTTCCTTTTACAATAGCATCCAAAAAAATGAAGTATCTAGGAATCAATGTAACAAAAGAAGCAAAAGACCTCTACGCTGAAAACTACAGCACTCTGAAAAAAGAAATTGAAGAGGATATAAAAACATGGAAAGATATTCCCTGCTTCTGGGTAGGAAGAATCAATATAGTGAAGATGGCCGTACTACCAAAACTGCTATACACATTCAATGCATAGCATCCAAAAAAATGAAGTATCTAGGAATCAATGTAACAAAAGAAGCAAAAGACCTCTACGCTGAAAACTACAGCACTCTGAAAAAAGAAATTGAAGAGGATATAAAAACATGGAAAGATATTCCCTGCTTCTGGGTAGGAAGAATCAATATAGTGAAGATGGCCGTACTACCAAAACTGCTATACACATTCAATGCAATGCCAATTGAAATTCCAACACTATATTTCACAGAACTAGAAAAAAGAATCCAAAAATTCATTTGGAAGCATAAAAGACCTAGAATAGCAAAAGCCATTTTAGGCAACAGACACATGGCAACAGGTATAACAATTCCCAATTTGAAACTATATTACAAAGCTACTGTGATAAAAACAGTGGGGTCCTGCAAACAAACAGACCTGAGGATCAGTTGAACAAACTGGAAGACACAAAGACAAACCCAGATGTACTCAGCTACCTCATCTTTGACAAAGGAGCTGACTGACCATCCTCAGTGGGGGAAAGACAGCCTCTTTAATAAATGGTGTTGGATTTCAACTGGATTTCAACCTGCCACAGATTAAAACTGGACCCTTATCTTTCACCATGCACTAAATTAAAATCCAAGTGGATTAAAGATCTAAATATTAAGACAGAAATATTAAACTTGCTGGATGGTAAGTTAGGCAGAACTCTTGAAGACACTGGCATAGGAAAAGACTTTATAAACAAATCCTCAGTAGCACGGGAACTAGCAGATAGAATCAACAACTGGGATCTCATCTTATTAAAAAGCTTCTGTACTTCAAACGAAACCATCAGCAGAACTAAGAGACAATCTACAATGTGGGAAAAAATTTTTACCAGCTGTTCCTCAGACAAAGGACTGTTTTCAAGAATATATAAAGAACTCAAAACAATCAGCCCCCACCAAATATAAAGACCTGATTCAAAAATGGGCATCTGAAATGAAGACATTTCTCAGACAAAGAAGTAAAAGCAGCAAGTAAATATATGAAAAAATGTTCCACCTCACTGGTCATTTGAGACATGCAGATGAAAACAACACTGAGATTCCACCTCACCCCACAAAGAATGGCTGCTATCAAGAAATCACACAATAACAAATGTTGGCGGAGTTGTGAGGAGAAAGGAACCCTTCTCCATTGTTGGTGGGAGTGCAGACTGGTGCAACCACTATGGAAATCAATATGGAGATACCTCAAAGAGCTTGGACTGGAGGTTCCATTTGACCCAGCCATCCCTCTGCTGGGTATCTTTCCAAGAGAACTAAAAGAATCATATCACAGAGAAGTATGTGCACCCATGTTTATAGCGGCACAGTTTGTAATAGCTAAATCTTGGAAACAGCCCATTTGCCCATCCGTTGGAAATCAGGTAGACATTTTAATAAAACATATCAATAATCAAGTTGTCTGTGGAGTTTCCAACAATTAGGTAATGTACAGGTCAGCATTATCCTTATACTAGTTTTAAGCCTGCTAACAATGCTTAACAAAAGATCGCTGATTATAGCGGCACAGTTTGTAATAGCTAAATCTTGGAAACAGCCCATTTGCCCATCCGTTGGAAATCAGGTAGACATTTTAATAAAACATATCAATAATCAAGTTGTCTGTGGAGTTTCCAACAATTAGGTAATGTACAGGTCAGCATTATCCTTATACTAGTTTTAAGCCTGCTAACAATGCTTAACAAAAGATCGCTGATTTACATAATAAAAGCATCTGGTAACACATCAGCTACAACATTAGGTGCAATTTATAAGCAAATTAAGTATTTCTTAATTCGCTCTACATTATGCTTGTATTTAGACGTCTCCCCAAAGTCTCATATGGATGAGGTGGAGCTTTCTTTTCCAGAGGTGGCTGAATCTGGAACGCATAATGCTGGGATTAAGCACGTGATTACTAAACCACTACCCATGAGTGATTGCTTTGGCACCATGCTAACCCCGTTAGTCTGGATGGGATTAAAGGGGCAGAAAGACACTGTCAAGGTCTCTTGTTGCTTTTGCTACCTGCTGGCTCCATGAACTGTCTCTCCACTACAACGCCCATCTGTGATGTGTCACTCTGTCTATGAGCCAGCCTATTATGGACTGAAACCTCTAAGAACTGTAAGCCAAATACACCTTTCCCTCTTTAACTTTGGGTGTCTGGTATTTTGTCTTAGCAAGGAGAGAAAAGGAACTAAGACACTCAAGTGACAGAAAACCATTGTGCATTGTCAAAAACATTGATAAATTTTGTCCGTATATGGCCCATTTATTGCAACTCCTCTTTCATAAAGGCATTCTGTAGAGTCTGGCAAACACACAGGACATACTTGGTGATTTGAGACTACTTCCTCCTTTGTTTTCCTCATTGCTCTCAGTGGTGCTGATATATGATTATGGAAATAGCATAATAGTACGAAAATTGAGAAGAAAAATGTCAAGGAGTCTATAGCTATTTTGTCCCTCCAACAGTCAGCACAGCTTCTGTATTTTAACAAGTTATGTCTGCTGAGGGAAATCATCCTATGATCTTTATTTAGAAAAAATGTAGTGTTCCTCATGGCTTCTGGACAGCTGCTCCTCTTGGTTAACAAGCTCAACCATGTTCCTTCATTGTACATACTGTCTGGAAGTTAATCCTTACTTTCAGCTCTGAGGAGACCCTACCCTCCACGATTCCTGATCTCCCTTTCCTCATCCTGGTCCATCTCATACACGGTAGCCACCAGTGTTCTGTGTTCCATCAGACACAGCTCAATTCTGAGGACTCAAATCTTGAGTCACAAAGCACACTCCAGCTTTTATTTCACTTCCTTCTCTTCATGCTTTACCTCTTCTTCATTCAATCCTTATTCAGAGATATACTGAGCAAGAAACTGACATGATCAAGGCCCAGGGGAAAATTATTTTTATTTTAGCCTATTTTTTTCCTGACTGAGTTTGTTGGTACATTTTAGGTACATAATACAGTTACATTCATCACTGAGATCTCGTACCTTTACATGACCGGTCTTGGTTCTCATTTTTCCCCTTTTCCCTGCCCTCCCTTCATCCCTCCTTCCCTCCCACTTTACAAACACTTCATTTCCATTCCTTCATTTTCTCATATTTTTCTTTTCCCTTATTAGTTTTCCCCTACCCTTCCCACTTTCCCTACATCTTTAGCCCCTTTCTTCCTATTTCACATTGTCCATTATATCATTAGGATCTTAGGTACTATTACAGTTTATTCACACCAGAGAAACTATTCGGTATTTACACATGTGTGACTTATTTATTTCACTTAGGAGTATAACCGCAATATGTATCCATTTTCCTATTTGTAAAACACATAAATTGAGCTTGAAATCAATCAGAACATGTATTGGCATAGAACATGACAGCATTCCTTTAGCCTATATTGGATGAGACTAAAAAAAATGACTGAGGACTTCCTGTTGGGATTGATAATAATTGTACTGTTCATAGAGTTTCCCTGTTGGATCTTTATTTTGCAATGTTAAAAGATTTTCATATGCTGACCTATAGTATAAGTTTTATTAATCAAGTATTAATATTGCCTTATTCTGTATCATGTCTCCCTCTACCTCAGTTTTCCTACAAATTCAGTATGCATTGTAATAAATTCTATTTGTGGATTTGTGCTATCAAAAGAAATAGGTCCTTTAAAGTACCTATAGTAATGTTTTAGTCATTCTATTATTTGACAAAAATGATCCTCAAAACAAAAGTAAAACCTGCAAAAACCAGTTTTGAATGTGTCACTATCTTGACCATTTAGTGGCTTCTTATCCACTACCCAGCTAACTCTTTTTTTTTTTAATTGAGTTTATTGGTACAATCTAAGTATACAATATAGTTACATTCATTACTGGGATCCTGTGCCTTCACATGACAGGTCTTGGTTCTCATTTTTTCCCCTTGTCCCTGCCCTCCCTTCACCCCCTCCTCCCCCAGCTAATTCTTTAGGGTGACCTTTTACTTGCTTTACTTCCTAAGACTCATCTACAGAACATTTCTGCATCTCAGAAGAAGGTTCACTCAACTTTTCATGCACTTTACTTTCTGTTTACTGCCTTGTACCACATTTCACACAATTTCATATCCTTTAAATGTGTTCTTTCCTTTTTTTTCTAATCTAAAGCCTATTCATGACACATATCCACTAAGAATATATTCTGTGCCAAACATCCTTCTAAATTAGATTTGTGTTAACTTATTTAATTCCTCCTATAGTCTTCTAAGATATACTGTTTTTACTTTCTTCATTTCACAGATGAATGTGAAAGCTGGTCCTACCTTATTTTTTCAGGAATCACACAGCTAATAAATGGTAGTTCCAACTAGTAAGTAGGTGCTATTTTCTTCAACACTACCATGACTTCTGGTTTCCAGGGTGCAAGCCACATGTTAGTAATCCCATATATAGTTTCTTATCAATGTTTACACTCTGCTGAACTTAAATTTTGGGGGGATAGTTTTCTTTTTTTTGAAAGGAGGCCTCTCATTATAGTTTAGGCTGGCTTTGAACTCACTATGTAGCCCAGGCTGGCCTCAAACTCAGGTGATCCTCCTGCCTCAGTCTCCTGAGTATTAGTATTACAGGCATGTGTCACCATACCCAGATATACTAAAGTTATTTTATTTCCTTCTGAATTATTTCACCAAATATTTGTCAATTTTTTAATATTTTATGTTTCAGTCTACTGCATTATTAGAAGTTCTGCCTTGAGGTCAAAGTGAAGGTATAAAACAAACAGTATTGCACTTGAGGAAATGCAACAACAAAAAAAGAGGTAAAAGAAAAAGTCATAGGTTAATCATGTGAAAGGTGCTACATTTGTAATATGATTGCAGTCATAGCTTCTGTTACAGGAAAGGGACAAGATGATGGAGGAGGCCCTTACCAATATCCTCTGAGTGCATCTACCAGCAGAGCAAATGTGGTCTGGAAGGCCATCTGAGGCTCCTTGAAGTGCCTGATCCTGAGCTGAAATGTGAATAAAGAACTTTATGCAGGATGAGAAAAGAGAAGCATATTCATTGAGGAACCAAACAAATACAAAAAGTCTTCAGATACCAAGTGAGAAAATAAAATAGCCAGACTTTGGGACATCTCCAAAAACCAACAGGGAAAAATTACTCTGGAGGATGGGAATGGCACATGAGCATATCTGACATTCATCTTTAGAGCAAGAGAAGCGCAATGAAAGTTTGAACTTTGGAATGATATGACTGTACTTTCCTTATGGTTGTGGAAACTATAGTGAAGGGATGGTGTTTGAAAGTACTGTCTTTGTAAAACTTGGTGCCAAAGTTTTTTTATTATGTACAAGATCAATAGGTATTGTAGAGATAGGGATATGGCAACCAGCAAAATGAATTTCAGTTTAAATACATTAAATTAAATTATGGAATGGTAGTATAAAATAAAAATACATAAAAATAATATAGAAATCAACAATAAAATGAATCTTGTTCATTTTGGAGATATAATAAAAATAACTTACAGGCATCAAGACTTTATGTGGCAGGTTCCAATCTAAACCATTGATGGATTAAACTATTAAACTCTTTTAATCCTTCCAACAGCTATATGAAGTGGTTTAGTAGTTAAAATAGTGTGTGGTTATTTTACCAGTTATCAAAGAGTAACTTGAGACAATTAAAAAATTAATTTCTCCACTACACAGAAGTCTCACATGACACTGTATATAGCTAAGGGTTATCACACCATTCTGCTCCATGAAGTCATCCAAAGACTTGGGTTTCTTCTATCCTGTGACTCTGCTATTTCTTAAGTCGGTGCTCTCTAATAAAACTATATGTAAATCATACCTGTACATTTAAATGTTTCTATAAATAAAATTTTAAAAGTAAAATGAAATAGGTAAAATTATCCTATATAGGTAGGTTGAATTTAATCTCATAAGTGTTATCATCTTAACTATGCATCTCAGTTAGGATGCTAAATTTCATTAGAAATATATAGTCCATATTTAAATTTAAGAAAAATTTTGGTGAAAAAAGTCTATGCATGACACAAATAGACTTAAAAATATATAAAAACTACATTGAGCATTGGTTTTTAGTTTGAAAGGATGCATTTAAATGATGCATTGAATTTCAACAACATGTTATTCAATATAAAAATGTGACTACAATTATTACGTAGTATTATGTTATTTTTACTTTAGCTATTTTGATACTCTGGCTCTTGGAGTCTATGAACTTTGAAGATAAGAAAAAAATATCATTTGATTTCTTATACATTTCATGGTACCCAATCAATTCTTTACACCTCAAATATAGTGATTTGTTACACTAAATTCCAAAGAACTAAGTCATTCCTTTCAATGAGGCTGTATTTGTTAGACTTTCTTTTCACATACTTTCTGATTATTTGGATTCAAATTGAAGATAAACATGAAGATGGAGTAAATAACTAAAGCTTTGAAACATAAAGCTAGGTTAACTGAATAAACACCCAGAAGACATACTGATATGTTTGTTTTGTGAGATTTGACTTCTACTGTTTTAATAACTCAGTGATCTCATCTGGGAGAATTTCTTTTCATCTTTGAGAAATTGTTTTTAACAATAACATGAAAGAGAGCATTCTAAACACACAAAGAACAGAGAAAATAATTTGAGCTTTGTGGGAATATCTGGTTTTCACAGGCATGTGATTCATCTTTCATTTCACTTTAATTTTTCCACAGACATTTTCAATCTTTTTGTTCATCCATATTGAAAAGAGAAAAATCACAACCATAGAGTATAATAAAAAATACATTGTTCTTTGTGGTTTGGAGGGGATTGAATATATGATATCTGTATTTTGTTAGCTTGATCTGTAGGTTTGAAAAAAGTTATGCTTTGTTTTGTTTTGTTCTTTGTAATTCACCATTCACATTATTTAGATACATAATTTGAACCAAATATCTACAGAAACTATTTTCCGTAAACCTTAGAGAATTTGCCCTATGAAGTAAATCTAACAACTGTCAGACAAAGATTTGACCCCAGACCAGAAACCAATCTTCCAAACTTAATCTCTTCATTTTGCTAAGACAAAATGAAATACTAACTATACCATCCTACTGAATGACTTTCTAAATAGACTCTAAGTATTCATGCCAATATTCTAAATTATCTCAGGAAACATACTTCACTTGAACATTAAATATTAATTTAAAAAGCAGTATTGATTCTTGAATTTCAGTGTTAATGATTTCAACTTCCTAGGTTTATTGAGACTTTTCTAAATGATCTTCTACATAGAAAGAATTAAACTGCCATTTAGATATCTGTATTCTTTTAGTGATATATTTCTTTTCTCAAAAGTCCCCATGTTTTTTGCAAAGCTTACATTTTAAAGAATGATTTTAACATATAGACTAACGGTGATCAACAATTCCAAGTTGAATTTCATAACATTATGTGTAAACTAGTCTGAACAGAAACAAAACATTTATGCTAATTAATCAGTAGGAGCCTGGGAAAATTAAGAAAAATCTCAAGTGTTCCCATTCATGTAAACCAGGAAGACAGCTCAATAGTACCCATGGAAACAACTTAATCTAGTACTCTGAATGAAATATAAAAAGTATAATAAAAACACATTGAAAGTGTAATTTTAAAAAATACATTACAGTAAAAAGCACCTTGCCAATATTTCTCAAAACACTCCCCTTCACTTCAAACAGATATATCCCATTGTTTCTGAAACAGTTCTGGAAGTCGTCTCTCATTCAGATCTTTAGCTGTGCCCTTGTGGCTGCTTTGATGTTTGAATTGATTAAAAATGTCTATCTTTCATAGTCTTTTTGACTTTGGTGTAGAGGCAGAAGTCATATAGCACCAGATCCAGTGAATAAAGCGAACAAGGTCTCAACACAATGTCTTACAAGACTCGCATCTTGTAAAGACACTTGTATTTGGGATGGATTTTTTTTTTGTATTTTAAGAACTGAGGATTAAAATGATACATCAGGTCACGTAATTGTTATTCATTCAGTTCTTCCTAGACTACTCAAATCATCAAAACTTAAAGGTACAGTGAAGAGTACAAATAAAAAATAGAAAAAATGTAATGGCCATTAAGGGACTGCCGTGTAACTCAGGACCTATATTCAATCCCCAGTACCACAAAAAAAAAGAAAAAAGGAGGAAGAAAGAAAGGAGTGGGCCATTAAGCAAACCAAAAAATGATCATTGCAAATATGAGTGAAGTAATTATAAATATAACTTTAATAAATGTTTAAAACTTTTAACAATTTATGTTAATGAAAAATAAATAATATTTTAATAATTAAAATTTTAAAATATTTTTGACCATTAGACTGGCCAAAAAAGAAACCAAAAATTACACTCGATTGTCTGTATTTTTAAAAAGTGACTCATAATCTTTATATCAGTTATTTTCATCCAGCCTTCTAATTTCTTATTTTATATTGCAGTTCTGCTTTTGCTTTCTTCAGATACAATATTCATACACCTGGGCAAAGCAAAAACATCCGTTCTTCCAGGAAAATGCAGCCATGTGTGAGCCTGATACACAATCTTTTGGGGATGGGGGAAAAGAGAGTTTTCAGTCTTGTTTTTTTGGTTTGTTTTTGTTTTTGTTTTTGTTTTATTCAATGACTATCTGGATTTGTCATATGAAGATAAGAACAAAGAAGACTGGAAGGTGCCACATATATATAGCAATAATGTAGTTTGCCAGATACAAATGCTATGTGTATAAAAAATAAATGTATTCATTTATGTATAATTTATTCATTCATTTTTATTGACAAACATTAATTGTATTTAGTTATAGGGTGCAACATGATGTTTTTATATTTGTATACATTGCAGAAAAAATCAATTAAGCTAAGTAATACATCCAGAACTTCATCAGTTTATCACTTTTGTAATAATGTAGAAATCTACTCTTTTGGCGATTATGAAATATAGATATGTCATTATTAACTATGGTCATCATGCAATACAGTAGGTCACTAAAATTTATTTACCTTATCTGGTACTTCACATACTTTGATCAACATCTTTTCCTTTCTTATTCTTCCACTCTCCCCTGCCTTTGGTAATCAGCTTTCTATTCTCTCATCTATGAGATCAATATTTTTTAGATTTTACATGTAAGTGAGATTACACTATATTTGTTTTTCTGGGCCTGGCTTATTCCACTCCAGTTCTATCCAGATCATGGCAATTGACATGAATTTCTTTCTGTCTTAAGGCTATAAAGAAGCACATGTCTATGCATAGTCAAGAAAAGATATCTCAATAGTTTATAAAATCTAATGTGTCCCAGGATAATATGTGTAAGAAAATTTCATTTAGAAAATTCAGTGACCAGAATAGATGGAATAACTTGTAGAAAGAAATAACTAGAATGTATATACCAAATTATCTATTGCTAACACAGAGGTATTAGCACATGGTAGTGTTAAAAATATATATTATATACTCTTAATATTTGATTATTTTTCAAAATTAGTATAAAATATAACTGTATGCTAAATATGAAACTATAATGCTTGGAGTGAGACTTCATTTATCAGTCCAAGAATATGTACAGAGGAAAAAATCCTGAGTAAACAGAACAATACCCAAAGTTTAAACATGGACAGATACTATTGTGCCTGTCACATGGGAGGTAGACAGAACAAATTGATACATGGAGCATTCAGTAGAGATCTCAGAGCCAAAAGGAGCACAAGTTAGGAGTAAGACTGAAATGAGCCATAGATCCTAAGAGTGCTTAAAAACAAGATTTAAAAGAATAAACTTGCCCCACAAGTAAGTTAACTGCCTATCAAAGCAAAACTCAGGACTCTGGGAAAAATAATTAACATTCCAAATAATACAAAATTTACGGTGTCCAGTACCTACTAAAATTTTTTTGAGTATGCAAAGAACACAA